CAACCATCTGTGGATGTTGCTGTTCTTTTTCTTCCTGTGGTTTTGTCTGTTCTATGTTTTCACTGGTATCAGACTCTAGTACATCACGCGTCCAACATTCCATACGCGAACTCAGAGTTTTTATTGATACAGGTCTTTTTTTTTTTTTTTGGATTTGAATATTAGTATTTAATGATAATGATATTTACAAAAAATTATTTGCGAAACACCTATAAACTTTACTTTGTTAAAAATTCATTACATCCCGCTGCTTCCTATATCGTATAAAACAGAATAATAATGTAAATTAACCTATATTTATCAAAGTTGTTAACCTCCTTGACCAACCAATTCCATACCGCAGCTTCACTATCTTCCTATATTCCCAAATCGTAAAAAGATGACACCAATAATTAGTAATTAGTTCAATACTAAAATCTTCAAAGAAATTCTTTCGTGCATACTTCAGAGGCAAGTCCAGTCATCGCTATAATAATAGCTTTTTTTTCGACGTTTCCCATAATGACTTGTTGAAGACAGATCGGAACTTTTTATCGTTTCGGATATCAAATATGATTCTTCGCCGTTCTCTATTTTTCGAATCTTTGTAAAAACAAAGTTTGATAAGTTTAAAGTAATGAAAAAAAAAACTATTAATCATGAAGAGCCTACTTCTTTCGTTGCTTCAATCTATACATTAAAGAACAAAAGTAAATAACAAAGTTCATTTCATTTCGTACATATTATAATAATGTAAGCGTACCCCATCACAAATCGGCATTTGTAAATCCTATCAAAAAACGATATATATTACGATCTTATCATTATTCGGTCATTTAATTCACGTAAAACTCACCATAAATATTATATCATATAATTTTTTAGAAAATCTTTGAACCGCTGTTTTGTAAATAAAGAAAAAAAAAGTCAGCTCCATTAAAGAAATGCTTTTAAAAAGTATTAAATAACAGACCTTCAAGCCCATTAGTAGCTACATCGTAATTATTAAATCCAGCTTGTCTTAACATTGTTTTTAAAATCATTGCATTAACCTTGTTATCCTATAAGAGTCATAAAT